ATCTTCTCCGCGCTGCAGCCGGGGCCGGGGGGTGCGAACTGCCGAAGAGCCCTGGCTAGTCCATCGCCAAACCCAGAGGGCTTCCAGGAGGGGCAGTTTTGCAGCAAACTACCTGAGAGCTGCTCTCTGTACAGTTCTCTGTGTGTAATAAAGTAGCATTCCCTGTTTCTGCTACTTGCAAGGGACCCACGCTAGTGCATGAACCAAAACTCAGTGATGAATAAAAGTCGAGTAGTGACCACTCTTGAAATACAAGAAGAGTGGCTTAAATATTTGGATTTAAGAGGCTGTTCCAGAGGGAAACGTTCATGCATGAAAGGCTGTTTGAGAAATGAACACAAAAGTTAGTCATAGAAGAGGTTGCCTGAGCACATGGGGTTTTACGTGCCTCTAAATAATTACTGCAGTCATCTACAGCTCATCAGCACTCAAATCAGCCAAAACAAATGCTTTGTAAAAATGAAGTGGTCATGTAAGTAAAATAAAAGGTTCTAGTGAAATCCTGACAATGAATAAACCTAAACTGCAGGCAGGCCCTGAGACAAATCCAGGACAAAACCAGCCCTGCATTATTTCAATGATCTTAAGCTCCTGTCCTTTGCAACCTGTGAAACTCAGCGTAACAGAAGCAGTGTTGTGTCCCAACTAGCACAAGTGTTCCGTGTGCTAAACTTGAATGTAATAAACGCAGTAATAAAGTCTGGGACACAGGAAAATTTCACAAGAGCAGAGTTCCAAATGCACAGTTATGAGATGGGCAGAGTGAGCAGACCCTGTTGACTGCGGAGGAGGCAGCAGCAGCGTCTCTGGGGAGGAACACTTGCTATGGCAGCTTTTGGAAAGTCCAAAGAAAAAAATAGATGCAGAAAGAAGATCCAGTTTAGATGAATACATGTGCTAGAAGACACGGCTGAACTTAGCTAGAAGGAAATTTTGAAAAGGGTTGTGGTCCACCACAATAAAGCATGTTTATAGGTAAGAATTGTGGACAAATGGCCAGAATCTGTTTGCATCAGGATAACTTTCCACCCTGGTGAAAAACACTCAGATTCAGAACAGGCAGTGTCATCTGCACTTACAGAAGCACCTCCATAGAAAATGGCTGATCCAAGGAACCAGCAAAATGTGCCACAGGTCTCTCCCACTTCCAAGAGCCTCATAATCTCTCCATACATTATTGACAGCAGACTGTTACTTGTTACACCAGCACGAAAAAATTAAATTACAAGTGTGAAGAAAAAGTATATTGTGGGCTTGGCCACGTAATATTTCCTGTAGATTTCACCTGAAGGAAAGGCAGGGTTAAAGCCCCTAAAATTTCCTGCCCTGATCTGGTGTTATTAGCTCAGTATAGTTAACCTGCCAGCTGGATGGATTTTTCATGTGCTCAGGTCCTATAGGAAATACTGTAAAATATATTAGTTCTCATATGTAAATTAAACGTGTGATCTCTCCCAAAATAACCACGCTGAAACCTCACAGAGCCAGTAACTTTTTTTTTTTTGTGAGAAGGGCAAATAAAAAACACCATTGCCAAAACAACACCCCCTCTACCCCTGTACAAAAGTCTACTAAAACCAGGAGTATCTTACTTAGAAGTGATTGTTTAGAACATCTCATAGCAACTCAGATTCTGAGCAGCAAGGTTTTTTTCTTCTCCTCAATACTTCATCTCCACTGGAAAAGTAATGATTACAAAAATAAAGGTACATTCAGAATGGGAACAAACAATAAATGCAACAATATCTGACCAAAATGTTGCTGCAGTTCCATACTTATAAGCAATTTAAATTCACTGCAGAATGTGCCAATGACAGGATAGAAGAAATCAAGCAAGTATCCCAAGGTTGAATCCACTGCCCCGTCCTGGGCCAGTACATACCTGTGATGCAAAGGCTGCTGTACATCTCAGCAGCATATGATGGAGCTAGACAGAACATTGATGGCACCAGACCTCACTCTCATTCCTCCTCCAAAAGGATAAGAATTGCCAAAAAAAACCACCCCAAACAAAACTGTCATGTGTTTAATAAAACATCAGCAACCCGCACAAGAATCAGTGCTTGCAGAAGGAGTGAATGAAACCTCTCTAATACTTCTGAATAAACTCAGCTCAAGAAGCTGAAAATAATAAAGCTTCACATTGTAAGTTATGTAGAAACCTGGCAGGAAGAGAAGAGCTAGAGACAGAAATCCTAAAGCATTATACAATTGCCAACATAAATGGGGAAACAAGACCAAGACCTATTTTCATAAGCCATTTTAGCCTGCATTGAAAGACTTCCTGCTTAAGAAAGTCTCATTTTAGGCAAACTGATGTTATTTCTACCTTTCCTGCGTCAGTGCACAGGATTCTGATCAACAGCCTTTATCCCAGCATCACTCAGTGAAATGACTCAATGTATTAATTCACCTGTCATGAAATCAGAAAGAGCATGGTTGTTTTTAAGTACAGAGAACACTGTGAGGGAAGTACAAGCAGCAATTTTAAATAAACTTCCATACCTGATCTTAGATGGATCTACCAATAAACCCACTATTCATAATACTGACAGCATGAGGAAGTCAGCAAGAGTAGGAGCCCTTATTTGCAGTTACCCTATTTCTTAATATCCCATAGGCTAGGAGGCAAGAGATGCTTTTCAATGCAGGTAATAATAATAGCATGTATGGTATTTATGATGTGATATAATAGCAAGCTATCTTTTCTTTTCCTTCCCAGGTTTTCACCAGCAATATTTTTATATCTGATTTGCACAGTGCCGTCACTATGGCTACTAGAAATTCATCACGGGACTCAGGTATTTATGATGAGACAAGATGGACTAGTTTGAAATTGATGCATTATTTGATGGATTTAAGCATATAGACAGGTGTCTGCCAGGTCTTGTTCCAATTTTCTCTTTTATACAGGTGGGTGTCCCAATCCAGCTACAGCTGTACAATGACTACAGTCTATTTCCTGACTATCAAATAATGAGCCTCATTCCTAGCTAAAAATGAGACCATTTATTTTTGTTTGTCTGTGGAACCGAGAACTAGAAGATTGAAAAACAACCTTTCACCTCCAGGTTACCAGCTGGAATCTCGCTCAGGATGGTGAAAGAATTTAATTGCTTTAGAGGCCTTTGTAAAATAAAGGATGAGTTTCACAGCACATACAGGCAGATACCACAACTTCAGTCAAGCTGAAATTGAGACAGGTACCTGTGAAAGGTGTCTTAAAATCAAATTGCCTCATGTTTGTTGCAACCTAGGAGAATATTCACTGATTACTACGACATAGAGCTGACATGGCAACTTGTCAGCATTTATATCCTTTCTTTGTACTGTGTAGTAATCTGTGAGAGTGGAGGGGTGTCTGGATTCCAATTCAGGACTAAAACACATGGTGAAAATTTTTAAATTAATTGTTCTTTTGGCAGATGGGGTCAGTCAAAGCAGGACAAAGCCACTTTTCCCAACAGCTCATGTTGAGTGAACTACTTCCTCACACAGGCTGCTTTCAAGTCCCCCAGATAGTGAAAACAGGATTTTTGTCTGTCCCAGCATTTGCACGTATGCAGTAACTTGCATCCAGAGTAGAAAATGGCCTGATAGGAAAAAAGAGCAAAAAGTAACAGAAGAAAATACATGAATTAGACTAAGAAGACATAGTGCCTCATTTTCTCCTTTGAAACATTGTTAGAGCCCACAGAAGCATAATCAAATATTCAAAATTGTGTTTACACTGAAAATGCCTGAGGCTTTTTCTAAATACAGCAGCAGGCATTTATTGTCTTCTTGTTTTGCCAAATCTCCTTAAACAGTCACAGACAGGTAATGTGGATATTGAGAACATTTGTCATAGTTAAATCTGGTCCAAGAAACAGGCTAATTCTGTAGTCAAAGGCAGCAGTTTATTTCCCAAAATGATGTTCGAACATGGCATACTTTGTTCTTATTGATATACTGCTACTGTGAGTTAAAGAGGGAGTAGATCAAGTTAACAGCTTAGTTTATACCTGGAGAGATAGGATACTTACAATCTAATAGATTCAAAAACAATACCTCCAGAAAGGGAGCAGCCCTCCTAACAATTAATCTCAAACACAGCACCCAGACTAGCACTACTCCTCATACTAAAGTATTGCTAGGATTTTTTCTTATTAAACTGTTAACAGAATGGGTAATTATGCAGTTGCTAGAGCCACACATTTAATATATACACCATGACAACAATTTGTGGTCTTTAAGGCAGTGGAACTTCGATCTCATGTTGAATCTTTAACAGGAAACATGAAGTGCTTGTGTTGGTGCTATTATTTAAGGCACATACTAATCTGCAGTCTCTCTTCCCAAAAACAGAGGGAATTCTGCCTCTGAGTACTGTGGAACTGGACATCAGTAATACCATTCATATATCACTAGTGAAATACTGACTGCATGGAAACTGCTGCTTTGCAGTGGAAGTATCTGGGGATGTGTGGAGAGACCATAAAGTAAATTGAACTGTACCAAGCAAAAATATTGCTGTCTGCAAAGTAAAGTGGCATGAAAATTAAAACCATTTAATCCATTAAAAACCCCAAAAGACCTCTGTTACTTCTTCAAAATGGTTGATAAACCTTGCAATTCTTTTTAACCACCTTAACTTGAACATTAAGAGTGAACAGGACTGCCCATCCCTCAGCCTCACTCTGAGATGGGATTCTCTTACCAGCTAAAATTCTAGTGTGTCACGCTCCCAAAAGTGTTCTTACATCTTTCACTATTTTCCCCCTCCTTTACCCATTATTTTCCTTAATTTTGAAAACAGCTTAAGCAATCTTTTCACCCTGTTCTGTTTCAGCTGTCTCTTAGGAGCAAAATGAAGCAGTCACAGCTGCTTTGAATTTCTGACATCACACATGTTGCCATAGTGATGGCCACACTGTTGCCAGCAAATGGAAGGCATCGAGCAGGGTACCTGTTGCTTGGCAGAAGGCCCACGCTGGGGAAGGGCTGGCCTCTTACACCACATACTCAGGCTGCCAGTCTCCTTGCACATTGACAGCATTGAGGGCACTCTGCCTTGGCATTCAATTCTACCATCTCAGTGCTGGACCCATTGTGAAGTTTTGCCTAACCTCATTTTTATCTGGGAACAATGGAGTGTGAATAATATGCAAAGAGAAATTTGCTGAATTATTTCAGTATTGCAGGGGTTTCCAGTGCACTGACAATGAGCTCTTTGCAGGCGACACAGTAGGACACCACCATGTCATACAACAGAGTTCTCATTTAAAGTAGTTGTTTTATAAATCAGAGGAACCTAAGCTCCATCTAAGAAGAAACAAAGGAAGAAAATCAAGCTGAAATTTACACAAAATGTGTCACTTTCTTCCTGGTTTATTTTTGCACAATAAAAAACCCCAACATTTTTGTTTAGCTGTGCACACAGTCTCTTTGCAGGTGACACAGTAGGACACCACCATGTCACACAACAAAGTAGATGTTTTATAAATCAGAGGAACCTAAGCTCCATCTAAGAAGAAACAAAGGAAGAAAATCAAGCTAAAATTTACACAAAATGTGTCACTTTCTTCCTGGTTTATTTTTGCACAATAAAAAAAACCCAACATTTTTGTTTAGCTGTGCTCACAGTCTGGATACCTAGGAGTAACTGGACTCTAGCAGTAGTAAAGCACATTTATCAACTGCCTTTGAAACTTAGTATTCACATTTTCCTTGTCATCTTCCCATTAAGTCACTGCATATGCCTAATTGGCTAGACAAATATGCCAACAGTGCTATTAACATATATATACATGATGAAGATGAAGGCTGTTCTTCAAACTTTCAAGTGAATCACGACTACAATCACCACTCAATAAATATTCAGAGAGAAATAAACAACCAAAACCAGGTATGAACATACTAAAAAAACAAAACAAAAACAACAGGAGGCTACTTAACTGGCTTTGCAGTTGCAGTTTTCCTGCCTGCATGCAGTTGAGATTTTAGAACCTTGATGTACTTGCTGGGAGTTCTCACAGTGTTTGGGAAGCAATTTCCACTGTCTTTGCACATACAGCAGGCTGCCCTAAATGGGCCCTGCCTCAAATTCGCCAAATTAATCCCTGAGCAACAGAGCTTTACAAAAATAAACAAAAAATCCCCAACTCTAATGTGAAGTTTAGTGCAAGTTTATGGCTGCCTTCCTCTCACCTCTACCAGACTGGTCAAGGGTTCCAGGGTGTGAGCTCAAATGCAGACTTGGTGACAAAGCAAAAGCTGTCAAAATGAATTAGCCTCCCTCCTCCAGCACAAGTTAGTAACCCCCTTCCCCTGCCCCAGGTACCTGTTAACAAGGTAGATAGTAACTTCTTCATGTTCTGGGGTGGTTACACCAGGTATGCAGCATTTTTAGGTCATGGTCTCCTTGGCTGTCTGAGTCTCACTGCCTGTGGGGTTACTCAGAAAGGCTGACTCTGACCTTGGGGGCTGGTCTCCGTAGGCTTCAGACTTCCTCTACAGGCAACATAAAAATGTTTGTCTAGAGCACCAGTTATGTTTTTGAAAGGGTTGAAGGGCTAACCCAGAGAGATTAGCCCCCCAAGGCTGTAGCCAGGCAGGGGACCAACCCTTCCATCTCACCATTTCCATATGGAGAACTTGAGACTTTCCTCCTCCAAATGGAAATACCGTTTTCTCCACATGCGTGTCAAACTTTCACCACATTTTCACACCCACTGTCCAAATAAGACAGGCATTCTGTTTAAGAGCCTTTACCACCAATTATAAAAGCAAAAAGCACTGGCTTTTTTTTTTTTCCTCCCCAGACTTTTCAGACCACAGGAAGTCGCCCCATTTATCTACAACAAGGTCAGGCAAGAGTCAGCGTTTACCCAGATACTGAGCAACCTTATCAGAGACCAAATAAAGTATCAAAGTGGAACCTGAGGTTTGCCAGAATGTGACACATGCTGGAATATGTTGCCTTTATAGTGGCAGGCATTATGCTGAACAGAGCTACTCAGTATGCACTAGAACACACTCCGATTGTTGCAGAAAATCGCTCCCTGTGCAATTAAGTAGTGGGGAGCCCAGTGAAAAAATGCAAATCATCTGGTGTTCTCTGGCACAAATAGGAGAGGATAAAAGTCTTTAATAACAGCGAGGTTTGATTTTCTAATTACCCCCTTATCATTACAGTGAGGAGAGATGTTAAGGGGTCGTTATGAAGGTGGATTTTAGAACCATACCCCAGTTGCTCCAGGTCCAGCCTTGGGCAGGCAGGGCAGTGCAGAGCTGTACATCTCAAATGTCCCACCACTGGTTTACTGCAGCTGAAGTAACAGTATGTTTTAGCCAACCTTCGATTTCCCAGAGCACTGGGTACTTGGAAAAAATAAAAATATCTTTTTTTTCAACTCTTCAGGGCCAGGCAACACCACAGGCCTGTTTTTCTTAGTTATTCCTGAATCTCATCTCTCACACGATAAATGTCCTTGCAGATGAAGGCACATCTCGGGAGGTGGCAGATAGTACAACCCAAACTTCCTACCCCAGCTTGATTCATTTCAGCCTTCAGGGAATTCATACAGAAGGAGGAAACAATGGCATTTTTTGAGAATAATTTTGGGATAGGAGAGATGAGAAGCAGATATTTTGATAAGTTCGAATATGGAGACTGACCATGGACATAAACCCTACCCCAACTCGATTCATTTCAGCCTTCGGGGAATTCATACAGAAGGAGGGAACAATGGCATTTTTGAGAATAACTTTGAGATAGGAGAGATGAGAAGCAGATATTTTGAGAAATTTGAATATAGAGACTGACCATGGACATAAACCAGCAGACTGACCATGACCAGTTTTTACTGTATTTTACTCTTTTAGCCAGATTAAGTAGGAAACCTGGTAGCCTGTTCAGGAGAGCTGCAGGCAGATCACATTCAACCAGCACAGTCTTAACAGCACCATAATGTTGCCTGGTCCTTTGAATTCATGTCATCTTCTGCAGTACAATCCTACACTTTCTCAGGGACCTACCAACACATCACTCCCATCCTCATAAGGGGAATTCCTCCTTTCTGAACAAGAGGGGAGTTACATTCAGAGTGAGCACATACGTCTGTAAATATCAACTTTCAAAAACAAACTCTTTGCAGTTCAGCAAAACAAGACTCTTTCAGCCACAGAGTGCATCTGCTGCCTGCATGGGGTATTCATGCATGTGTGATCTTTTTGTTCCCAACAGTACTGTGGCAATGAGCCTGGAGCAGTTCAGGTGAATGTCAGCAACCAAGACTTCAATCAATCCAGAGAGAGCAGTCATGGAAGTGAGGCAACAGATCACCATATCATTCAGACGGTGGGACACCTTTTCCTATCATAGTAGAGATCTTATGATATTAGATCAATTAGAGAGGACTGTTACATCTGCTGGGGCAAGCTCCTCACACAGTGAGTAAAAGAACAACAACAAAAAAAATGTCATTTCAGAAAACTATATTGTGAAAGTGGCCTACACCATGCTGCACACTAAGTATTGTTGGTAGGACCAGTCTGTGAAGAGGAGACTCTCCTACCATTCTCTTCCAAATCTCAGTAACTAAATTTAGAAAGTAGCTGGACAAGGGTTCTACAAAGTATAATGCTCAGCTGAATAGATGAGAATAGTAGGAGTAGTATACAGAGAAAGACTTGCTATTCATTACCCAAAGTTTGTATCAATATGTGGTTTTCAAATTATGGCTGCCACATAGAAATGATTTGCTCTAATACAATGTGAAAGAGAACAAAAGCAGGCTGCAGGATTAATAAGAGTCTCTGAAGGTACCTGTGTCAGTCTCCTAAAGTTACAGCATATTATTGTTGTTGTCTTTTAAACAGGCTAAAGTCTTTGTGAATCAGCTCTCCACAATCTGTGAGACTGTATGGACACTGGCCCTCCACCAGACTTTTCTACTGCTACTGGTAGTTGGGAGATGGCTTCTACCCATTGGGGTTGAAATCACCCGGGATCAGTTGTCTCAGCTGCTTCTCATGTTTGTGGGAACAGCAGCAGACATACTTGAGTTTGCTAGTGAAACCTTGGACATCGAAGATGTTCGGTAAGGATTATTTGCTGATATAAACAATTTGCACAGTGCAGGGTATTTGTTTTGTTTGAAGATTTGTTTGCTGCGTTCAGACTGGTAGAACTGTATTTCCCACAGAAAACAGGCCACGTGCAAGGGCTGTGTTTTCCTACCTTTCCCTCTGTAGAAGACCTGCCAGTCCTGTGAGCTTAGTTAGGGATTACTCATCTGTTGCCAGCAGAGAAGCACATCATATCCCTCACAATAAAAGGGTAAAAAGAGCCAAACAACTGGCATGGCTGCTTTTGCAGCTTCCGCTCTTAGCGTTCAGACTGGTAGAACTGTATTTCCCACAGAAAACAGAAGGCCACATGCAAGGGCTGTGTTTTCCTACTCTCACCTTTCCCTCTGTAGAAGACCTGCCAGTCCTGTGAGCTTAGTTAGGGATTACTCATCTGTTGCCAGCAGAGAAGCACATCATATCCCTCACAATAAAAGGGTAAAAAGAGCCAAACAACTGGCATAGCTGCTTTTGCAGCTTCAGTTCTTAGCACTAGATAGACAGTAAGCCTCTTTCAGGTTAATGAATTTAGACTGGCAAGGAAGCAACTAGAGTTTGCTTTAGTGATTCATTATCCAGGTTGCTTCTTCAGTTATCTCATATGTACTTTCTTCATGATAGAATGACAAAGTGTTCAAAGATAAGAAGAAAAGGAATAAGATGGTCTGGTGTGAATTTCCAACATTGTGATCTCTCCCAGAGAAAGTAAGCTCATTTCCCCTTCACAGCACTGAGAGATGAGCTGTGAACATCCATCAGATAGAAAAAGAATCACAGATGTACTTTTTAATATCAAAGAAAAGGTTTTACAGCAGGAAAAGAGGTCCTTCCCACTTGGCAGAGAAGCTTCAGGCTTGCAAGCAGTGTGCAATCACTACTAGGGTAAAGATATCTCTTCTTTGAGCCAGAGTCCATTTCCATATGCTTAGAATTAGAACGTTAGTGTTGGATATTTAGTGCAATTGCAGAGCTGGAACATGTAGCCTGTACAGCAAAAATTCCATACCAAAAAGGTGCTTCTGTTTTCCTTAGTCTGTATCTCAAGAGCATGCATTAGTGACTGGTTTGCTCAGCCACCCTTCAAATGACATTACAGAGAGTACAGGAAACATTTTTGTCATCAAATAAGGAAAATGCATCTTCAATGTTAACCACTTTTTTTCCCCTCCCATAGGAATAATTATGCTCTTATAAATGCAATTCTTGCTGTATGGACCTGGAGTATGTTACAGTTTCCACTTGATCTTGCAGGTTAGTAGTTGCTCACAGACAAGAAAAGAAAAAATGCTTTTTAAGTTTTTGCTGGCATGTCTTCTGGCTGTGCACACGTACAGGGTATACAAAGGAGTTCTGGTGGAGAGCAATTCATACGACAGTGATGGTTTCTGAAGAAAGCCCATTGTGGTTTCTTTTGAGGAAACACTTGTTTCTGGCTAACCTCTGACCTCCCTGATAAAACTCTCTGCTTCCAGAGAAAATGGAAATTAAAGTATTGTATTGAACATCTGCTCTAGTTGCCCGGTACTGTCTTAAACTTCACTGTGTGAGCTGTTGAGTGAGTTCTGGTTTTGGTTTATAGTATGGGTCAAATCTGGGTAGTTCACTAGGCCCTGTGGAGAAATAGGTGATTGTTAACCACAGGGAACACTGCAGCCAAGAGCACAGAAGTCGTTAGCACAGGAGAAATTGCCTACGCACAGAGAACCTAAAGGACCATATAATTTTGGGACTGTACACCCTTTCTTAATCTCAAAGGTCCAACATACAACCAGCTCAGGCTTTTATGTGTCCCTAGGCAGAAAGGGCTTCTCTGTGTCCAAGAAAAACAATAAAAGCTGCTTCAGTCGTCATCTGTTCCAACCATTTTGGCCTCCAATCACTTCAAGTTTGCAACTCAACTATGCCAATGTAAAGATGCATTATTATCACTAGCATCTTATATAAAATTGCTGACTATGTTGACACACTTGAGTAAAATAATAATAAATTATTCCAGGAATTTTTCATTTGCCTTTTCCTTATGGACAGCACTAGGCTTTGTTTTCAGCACTGAAGTTATGAAAATATTTCAGCGTTTCAGCTCAGCAGCTCACCTCCCAAAAAAACTGATGCAATCACATTTCAGATTTACCACAGCTAAAGTTCCTGTTACTAGTAAAATATATTCTGTTAAAAATGCACACTCAGGTTTAAAAATACAAACAAAAAAAAAACCCACCCAAATAAATTCAGACACATGCTTAAACAATCATAGCATTAAATTAAATAACCTCTTGTACTGTGTATTTTTCTCTGGCGATTGCTTTTCTGCTTATTTAATTACCTTTACCAGTTAAAAGTTAAATTATTGAATACACTTTTCCCTGAAATTTACTATGGGTACAATTCATTTTGGGTAGCTCTGTACTCTTGCATAGATAGTACTTTTTATTCAAGCATCAGAATGTTTATTTGCACATCAAACATGATGTAAAAGTAGAAATTTTTAGGTAGTTATTATTGGACTCCATTAATGCAGTTAGGACTATTAGATAGCAATGGCACAAAACATTAAAAAATTAGCTGCTGCTGAAGCTTTGCCTAATGGATTCAGCAAGTTTCTATATTCTACAACTCATTTTCTACTCAAGTCTCATCTTTTTTTTTTTTTCCCTCCAGTGTTGACTCAAACAATAGAATTCTTTCAGTAAGCCAGAATGTTTGGCAGTTGTTGCTGCATTGCAAGCAGCTATGTTTTTTAAATTAATGACATCCCCCTGCCTGAGACACAGGTTAGTTAAACTGTATGCATTTTCATAATTCGCAGCTGTTATTTACCATGCAGAATCCCTTCTGATGATCCTTCTCTAGGCACCACACCACACAGAGCACTCTAGCCCCACTTCTACAGCCAAGGGGAACATATCTGTGCAACTCCAGTTTCATACCCAGAAGGCCAAGAATGATTAACTGTGGTTCAAGTCTTCCACAGTAAGCAGTGACCACAGTTTCTTCCTATCCATGATGTTCAATACTGCCCCACACAGACATGACTTATACTTACTATGACACATGAGAAAGGCAATGGCTATTTGGTGAATCTTTTAAAAGCAAGGTCTTAGTCTGGAGCAAATTGAAGTGCTACAGCTCAGACTGTCACCATTCAGAATGGTAGTTTTTTCCTGAAGATAAATCAACCTGCTAGGCTAATATCTAACAGTAGAACGTCTGGGGAAGTTGTTACACAAAGTTGAGGTTTTCTACTTCTTGTTCTACAAGTGTATAAATACTGATAGCTTTGTGGGATAGAAAATGGGAAGTGGTTTTGGGTTCTTTTCAGCAGACCACATAAATCCCTGCTTAATAGGAGTTTAGTGTTTTGCTCAAACAGATCCAAGAAATTGGGTATGCTTTATGTTGAATTGTTCACAACTGAATGCATTTATAATCCAGCGTACTCTGGATTATGACTGCTCTTTTAGGGCAACCTTGGCTCAATTCTAGAAGGTTGTTTTAACATGCCTGTGTTTTAATTTCCAGTACAGCATATTGGCTGCAAAGCAACTGCATCGACTAGGCGGCTCCCCAGCCTGCTGCTGTGCAGGTACAGTGCAGAACTGTGGAACATTTGGGTCAGCCTTTTCATACAGGACGGTCCCTTCTTCATTGTGCGTTCAATCCTCATGGGCCACTTCAGAATATTCAATCAGATGCTGGTGTTTTTTACAGCTAAGAATATCTTGGTTGTGACTCTACAGTTGTATCGTTTGGCAGTGATCACATTAGACTTCCGTGCCACAATTCAGCAGAAGAGCAGGAAAGGAGAAGTCAGCTGTTGCCCCTGTGAGCCTTATGAAGCTAGTGCTCATGCTATCGTTGACCAAGAGGCTGAAATGAAACAGTTTATTGCTCTTCCTCCAAAAGAGGAACCCCCAGCTCCATCAGAATACCAGTGATGAGTTACTGACTGGAAAGAGGTTGCATTTCCCACAGCTTCTTCAGAAGGGCTTAACCTATTTATATGATCAGACCTACCTTGAGTGCCTGAGTCATCCCTTCCACCAGGAGATCAATTTCTTCTAAATGGTAGGGGAAATTTCTGAAGCAAATTCATAGAAATGGGACTTTTTTTTTATCCGTTTCTGTGGTGGGTTTTGACTAGTTCCCTATCATATTATCCACAGGGATTTTGTAGCTGTAGTTTGTAGTAGCAAGAAAGGCTTGGCACACTATCAAAGTCGGTTATCTTTGGTGGCACTGTGCTAACATAGGTATTTGCATGTGTTCAGATAGAAGGACAAGCCTATCCATTACAGGATGTGCAGAAGCATTTAGCTCTACTTGAATGGTTGGGCTATAACTAGGGGGTGATAAAAATATTTTCACTGTGTATGGGAGCAACTTCAGCCATGAGAACTGCGCAGACATGCCAGTGAAGGGAGATGATCTTGGAGGTCCCTTCCAACCTAAAGGATTCTATGATTCTATGACAGATTTTTGCTGTTACTGTGACATCTAAACATTGTTCATTCAAGAAAATTAAGAACAATCTTCTTCAAATGTTACCTCATCTTTGGCTGGATTCAGTTAAACACCATGCAACACCATGAAACTGCATACACAAGACTGTCTCTTAGGACTTGCATGGTCTGAAGAACCTGAACTGTACAAATGAAAACAACACCCCAAAAAGCAGCCTCACAGATCATTAGAAGACAACTGCCTTTGTCTCAGGCATTTTTCTACAGAGGTGTTTGCCTATTTCCACCAGTCAGAAAAAAAACCCACAAAAACCCCTACAAACACCAGAATATTTATAAAGACTTTTTTCCTGGTTTCACCATCCTTGCAGTTCAGACAAGTTTTTTAAAGGTCTCTATTTTATATGATCTTTAAGTGGCCCAACTCAAGCATACAATCTAAGTAGAAAGAAAATGGCACTGCTCAAGTTTGACAGGGCAATATAGGCAAAAGGTTTCAGGCTTATGCTTCACACATCATAAAGCATCATAAGGTCCCCTGAAATAACTTGAGGTTGTCTGTACTGTTGAGTGTCAAGATCAATTTTAAAGAAATGGCTAATAATCATTTATTTACTAGTGTCATATTTGGAGTGAACATAGATTCTGATTAATTTTGTCCCAAGAATACAGTTTAGATCAGTGTAAGACCATTGACTTTGCTGGGCTTAGCTTATAGAAGCTGAAAGTAAGATAAGTGATTTTTTTGAAAGTGATATTCTCACAGAAAATGGCAGGTGCTGTTACAAATTTCTGCATCCACTCTAAAAGAGATCAGAAAACCATATTAAAAAACCTAGCAAACAAAGATACCTAATTATGGTAGTTTCCCTTATTAAAAATTCCCAATTAAACCTTATTTTCTAAAGCCTCAGCTAACTAGAGGATCTGGCTTCATGAATGAATAAGTGTTTTGCCACTACATGCTATTTGTCCATAGCATGATGAGCAATTACATGTTCATTCTTTTGAAAGATGAACCTATTGAAACTTTCTAACAGCTAAACATGTGAACATGTGTTTGTACTTTTGAGCTGTTACTGTTCTATGCAGGATCAGACGCTTCTATTATGAAAGAAAAAAAATGCACAGCCATAAAGAAAAAATTCTCATATATTTTAATGCTAAAGTATAGATGGTAGAAAGGGCTATGATGTGCAACACTTCTGTTATTTCAGGTCTTTTTCCAGCAGAAACTTGAGAAGGCCCATCATCATTTGCTACAGAATTGTGAGGTAATAGGGAGAGTGGAATGCAAGTTCATTTTGGATTTCAATTCATGTCTAGGGGTAAAAAGCTCAAGTGCTGCTGCTGACCATCTCATATATTTTAATGCTAAAGTATAGATGGTAGAAAGGGCTATGATGTGCAACACTTCTGTTATTTCAGGTCTTTTTCCAGCAGAAATTTGAGAAGGCCCATCATTTGCTACAGAATTGTGAGGTAATAGGGAGAGTGGAATGCAAGTTCATTTTGGATTTCAATTCATGTCTAGGGGTAAAAAGCTCAAGTGCTGCTGCTGACCAGCTGCACTGTCTTAAAACCTTTCACACTAGGGTGAGTTCAGAATCAGCTGGTAGAATATCTCTTCCTTGTTATGTGAGCCAGGACTACTCACATTCATTTTGAGTTTACCACTTGCTGATATAGTAATTATCTTGTTAAAAGGATCCTTGCTAATTAATTTGGAGTGTACTGAGCTTGCTAGAACATCATTCTAAATTCATCAGCACAAAAATTGCAGGATGTACTTTTTTTTTCCAACTTGCTGTCTATTTAAAGGCTTAGCTCAGCAACAAACTGCCTGCCAGGCTCAGCCTGCAGCAAATGCAAGATCCCCTGGGGTCAGCAATACAGAGACTAGTTACAGCAGG